TGGTTAGAAGGACCCTGGCCGGCCGGGGGGGGGGGGGCGTGGGTGCCACCACATCGTTTTTTTTTTTGCGACAGCTCGGAACACGTCGGCAGGCAACAGAGAGCCAAAACTGGGCATAGCTACCTGACCTTTGATGCAAACCGGGCCTTGTGACGCCCGCATTTTCACGGAGGGCCTCTGGTCGTCTGTTACCCTCAGAGGGACCCTCTGATGGCCTCTGAAGACCATCACTGGCCTCAAAGGGTCCTCTAGTGGCCTCCATGGACCTTCTGGGTACCTGAAAGGTCCCACTGTTTTCTCTCCAGGGGCCCTTTTTACCTCAAAAGGTTCTCTTTTACTTCAAATGACCGTATGTTGGTCTAATACATGAGGTCCCTAGTGGCCTAAAATAGCCCTCATATCATCTAAGGTGACCCCCTGTTTGCCTTAGAAAAGAGGTCCCTCCGGGTGCCTGAGAGGCCCTGTTTGTGTCCCAAAGGGTCCTTTGCTGGCCTCATAAGGCCCCTAGTTGACCTAAAAAGTCCTCTGATTGTCCAAGGGCCCTCTGTTCGCCTCAGAGGGCCAGCTTTTTCCTCAGAGAGCCTGATGACCTCATAGAGCCCATAGTGGCCTGACATAGCCTTCATATCACCTCAGAGGGCCCTCTGTTGTAAGGCTCAAGTGGCCTTCTCAGAGGGCTCCGACTGCCCTGTGACTGACAATTGTCCACTCTTATCCCTCTTTTGGGTGACCTTTCCCCCCTCTGACACCCAAGCCAAAATACGATTTTGGGACACTGACTCCGAGGGCCAGTTGATTTTCAGAGGGCCCTCTTTGAGGTGGATGTTAGGGCCCTCTGTTCGCCTCAGAGGGCCCTCTGGTGGATTTAGACTTCAGAGGACCCTATTTTGGCATCAGAGGGCGCCTCTCTGTGGCATCAGAGGGCCCTCGGAGGCCTCAAATGGCCCTATTTCATCTCAGAGAGCTGTCTTTGACCTCAGAGGGATCTTTTTTACTTCTTTGTGGTGTCTAAGGGGGCCCTCTGGCTTTTGTTCGCCTCAATGAGCCTTAAGGGGTCCTCCGATGACTTCCAAGGACCCTCTTTGATCTCAGAGGGCCTGATGACCTCATAGGGCTCATGGTGGTCTGACATAGCCTCATATCACCTCAGAAGGCCCTCCAGTGGCCTCAGAGGGCACTTTGTCACCTTTGAAGGTCCTCCATTCGCCTTAGAGGGCCCTCTTTGATCTCTTTGATCTCTTCGATCTCAGAGGGCCCTTTGTTCACCTCAGAGGGCCCTTTGGTGACCTCCAGGGACCATCTTTGATCTAAGAGGGCCGTCTGGTGGCCTCATAGGGTACCTTGTGGCCTGACATTGACCCTCGTACCTCAGAGGGCCTTCTGTTCGTCTTAAGGGGCCCTCTGCTGGTCTTAGAGGGCCCTTTGTGTGCCTGGGAGGCCCCCCTGAGTACCTGAGAGGGCCCTCTGTGTACCTGAGAGGGCCCTCTGTTTGCCTGCGAGGGCCCTCTGTTTGCCTGCGAGGGCCCTCTGTGTGCCTGAGAGGGCCCTATGTGTGCCTGAGAGGGCCCTCTGTGTACCTGAGACGGCCCTCTGTTTGCCTGAAAGGACCCTCTGTGTGTCTCAGAGAACCCTCTGTGTGCCTGAGAGAGCCCTATGTGTGCCTGAGAGGGCACTCTGTGTGCCTGAGAGGCCCTATGTGTGCCTGAGAGGGCCCTCTGTGAGCCTGAGAGGGCCCTCTGTGTGCCTGAAAGGGCCCTCTGTGTACCTGAGAGGGCCCTCTGTGTGCCTGAGAGGGCCCTATGTGTGCCTGAGATGGCCCTCTGTGAGCCTGAGAGGGCCCTCTGTGTGCCTGAAAGGGCCCTCTGTGTACCTGAAAGGGCCCTCTGTTTGCCTGAGAGGGCCCTCTGTGTGTCTAAGAGGACCCTCTGTGTACCTGAGAGCGCCCTCTATGTGCCTGAAAGGGCCCTCTGTGTACCTGAGAGGGCCCTCTGTTTGCCTGAGAGGGCCCTCTGTGTGCCTGAGAAGGCCCTATGTGTGCCTGAGAGGGCCCTCTGTGAGCCCTAGAGGGCCCTCTGTGTGCCTGAGAGGACCCTCTGTGTGCCTGAGAGGGCCCTCTGTGAGCCTGAGAGGGCCCTCTGTGTGCCTGAGAGGGACCTCTATGTACCTGAGAGGGCCCTCTGTGTGCCTGAGAGGGCCCTCTGTGTGCCTGAGAGGGCCCTTTGTGTGCCTGAGAGGGCCCTCTGTGTGCCTGGAAGGGCCCTCTGTGATTCTCAGAGGACCGTCTGTGTGCCTGAGAGGGCCCTTTGTGTGTCTCAGAGGGCCTTTGTGTGCCTGAGAGGGCCCCCTGTGTGCCTGAGAGGGCCCTCTGTGTGCCTGAAAGGGCCCTCTGTGTACCTGAGAGGGCCCTCTGTATACTTCACAAGGTCCATCATTGGCCTAAATGTGTCCTCTAATAATCCTCAAAGGGTCCCTAAAAGAGTTCTACAATACTTTTTCTTTTAGCGAATAAAATGGGAAGTGGTCAAAAGGGCCCTTGAAGTCATTTCAATTTTTTCCGTGTTATAAAAAACTTTTTTCTAGGCTCCAGGGGGGATCCTAGGACCCCCAGGATCCCCCCTTGGATACGCCACTGCCGACCGGGAAGATATAAAAGAAATACTGTCAATGCTTTCCGCCAAAAAAAAAAAAAAAAATCACAAACCACACACGTTCCAGAGCGACTGTAGACCTCTGTCCCCGTCTCCCCGGTGTACAAATTCGGTAACGGTACTGTAAATACCCACAGAGTGACTGGGTGTGGTGAATCACCCGCACGTTCAGCTCTGCCCGTGATCCGGGCGCCAATGGCGCCGTCTTGGCTGCCGCGCCGCTCAAATAGATTAGGATCTGACCTATTAATGAGTGCGCTGCTATCATGGATGTGAGCTCAGCTTGAGCTTGACCGGTAAAGCTCTAGCGAGAGCTTTGCCAGTCAAAGACCTGACGCACGGTAGTGCTAAAATACTCCCGAGTCACAGTTTCACCCACAGGCTACATCCTGCCCTACATCCACAGTAAGCCAAGGCTAGCATGTGGGAGCCAGGCGTGTCTGGTCATGGTGTGATGATTGTCACTTGCCAAGTTCGAAACCCTTCGACTTGTTCTCTGATATGGAATGGAACGGCCCTCGGATTGGGATGAGCGAACCGTTTCATTAAACGGTCAGTATAAGACAGGAACGGACGAATCGGGGACAAGGGTACCGACGGTACGGTACCGTACCGTAACGTGTAGACCGGTGGTGATCTGGAAACAAGCAGCAGCTGCTCGACTCTGCAAGACCGGTACGTTATGTGCCTGGGATCTGGAGCGACGCCCTCTACTGACCACACAAACCATCAGCTGACTCTGCACTCTGCAGTCTGCATGGGTACGGCTTCGAGTAATACCCGACGATATACTTACATACAATGACCTCACATAAAACAAATATGTCCATCTGTAGATGGGCCAATTATGCATAGATCATGAGCTCCACCGAACATCAACTGAAATGGTGATGGCTCGACGGGAGCGTCTCACAATACACGGCAGTGACTGGGGCGATTGGGCGCACAACGGTATCAAGCCAATCATGTCGATTGTCGAATGTGATTTATTTTTACCCACATTTGGACCAAGTGACTCAGTGACTGTGAATGACACACGCAAATTTCACATATATCGAGGGAGGCAGTGATCGTCCAGATGCACGGTCATACGAGGAAATAGAGGTGCTGTTTCATTCATTCAGTTGTTTTCATTCATTCGCTGGCCTTTTGTCGATTTCTTCAGTCATGTGCCGGTTTACTCTTCGTTCAATCATTTATTTCTTTATATGTAGTTGATTCATTCATGACTTCTTTGTTTGCCATTCATGACTTCTTTATGTGTAGTCATTTGTTTGGTCCTAGTTCAGTTATCGGTACCCAACTAATCTAAAGAACTTCCTCAGGTATTTTCTAGCGGATATACGAGTCGAAACACAAGTATAATCATTAATAATACCGGCGACACAAGACACCCTAAATGCTCGAACAGTTATGTTGTAACTAGAGACGACGAAGATGCCCCAGCCCCCAAGTGTACCAGTGTCTCCTTTGTATCAAAGTGATGGCGAGTTCCTTCCGGGTGTGGTAATTTCCGCTCTGTAATGATGGCACAGGAAAATGGCCCACTCATCCAGGGAACAGCATCGCATCGACATAGGCTGCGACGTCATAGGATTGGTCCTGTTGCGACAGCAGGATATAAATGATGTAATCGCGACCAACGCTCGTAGATTCAAGTGTTCCTACTCTGGCTGATAGCTATTTACCTGTCAAAGTGCAATCATGATGTGAGCTAGTGGGGAGACGGGCTATGGATAGCGTCATTGCGCGCTGTGTGCGAGTCATGACGGGCCGCTTGGTAGAAGTTCATTCTGACATTTCCAATATAACGAAACAGGTACAGCCCTCTGCAAATTGCGTGGTAGGTATTCTTTTTTTTTGACAAAACCGAGAATAACGCGGATACTATGCTATCGGTCACTCGGAAATCATAACAGCAAGACGCGGGAGACTCCGCACCTTGGATTGGCATTACCATCGTACTCATTTTCCATCCAATTTGGCAACAAAATCCAAAAGTTTAAATTTGCCCCAAAAACAAACTTTTGCATTTTGTTGCCACACAATGCATCTTCTTTGTTTAGTGATAGACCCAATCGAAGGAGTGGAGCATGGCGCCTCTACTTGCAGTGAGTTCCGACCGACTGATAACATAATCTTTGAGTTATTACCGGTTTTGTCGAAAAAAAGAATACCTACCACGCAGTCTGCTGATGGCTGTACCTCGCATTACGATGCATATTCAAGGATCTCACGACTTTACGATGACGATACACGCATATACTTATGTCACTATCGTGCGGTGACATATTCTTACAATCACTACATCTCATCATCCGACAAACCCTCATCGAAAGTCAACACAAATCGTCGTCATGAAGCACGATGTATTCAAATAAAAAAGAGTGCATACGAGACCGACGGCGGCGTCCCACCCTGAGGTACCCGGCGGGCGGTACGACGCGCGCCTGGGGACACATATCACGGGGGCGGCCCGCGGTACGGCGCGGTACGACACGGTACGGCACGGCGCGGTACGACACGGTACGGCACGGCGCGGTACGGCGGTACGACAGGGCTACGGCTCTGTCGGAGTGACTGGGTGTCCGACTGAAGTGACGGACAAGACGACGGCGCCCGGTGCCGGTCGGCAGCTACTGAGTTGTCCCGACCCTAATGCCGGGACACAGCTAGAACCGGCACCGCTACAACACAATGGTCCTGCGAGCGGAGAGCGGCGTCAAGAGCCATCTAGCGGTCGGAGAGGTACTAACAGTTCCTGGTGCTGCCGCTAGACGGAATAGCGGGTGGCAAATAACTTCACACCGGAACAAACAGCAATAACAGAAAATGGCCCAAAGCTCATAGGTTATAATGACTTTTAAATGAGAGGGCAAGCAGAAAACTGAACAAAACCCATGTTTTAAGAACGGCAAATCGGAAACAATTTATTCAAATCCAACTATTCACGGAAAATTCCAAACACCGGAAACGTGTGAAGAATAGTTGCAAAAGCACCTTCCAATCGAAATGAAATCAAAGCTCAGGCCTACGCCACCAAGACCGAGTTGAGCCCCTACCCTGCCGCAGGCGAGCCATCCTTCTGAGTTACGTACGTACCGTGCCGCCGGCCGCCGCCGGGCCGGAACACACGCGGTCAGAGGGCGGTCACAGCGGGTGGGGTCATTCCTCGAGGTCGGGCAGTTTCTCCTCGTCAGACTCGTCATCTGATTCGCTCAGGTCGTCCATGTTGGGCTTGCTGCCGTCGCCGGCGCCGCCGCCACCCAGACCACCCATCTGCTTCATCATCTGATTAGAAACGGAGGGAGATGAGTGGGGAGGTCAGTGCACAGTCGGGTTAGGTATCACTGGAACGAAAGGAAAGGGGAAACGATTGGTGCGCGGTAAATGCTATCGTCGCGATTCAATCGGCAGGTATGATATATACGAACAATAATCACACAGACAGTACCAGAAAAAAGAAAAAAGTAAAGCAAAAGTCAGACAGAATTTAGATACATCTCTATCAATGGAAATCATATAAAGAATACATGGCACTGCCAAACCTAAACTATCGTTTTTTTTTTCAAATTCGTTCGCGCGAACGCGAAAGTCGAAGACTAGCACTTGTCCGAACTCCAGTGCGACCATCAAATTGTACCAAGCACGATAATGTGTCCGGCCCAGGAGGAGTTCGAGTTGCTCAACGGACCCATTCTCAAGGAGAATAAGGCATATTATCTACAATCTCTAACGGGCCCTGCGCGACCAGCCAGTAGACTTACCGCCTCCAGGTTCATGTCGCTGCCGGCGTTCTCGTCATCATCCGAGTCGTCTTCGTCTTTCCACTTGCCAAAGTCCACCTTGAGCCAATGCACCTTGGCGCTGTCTTTGAGCAGGCGAGGCCAGTACGGACCCTCGGTTTTCTTCATTAGCACCAGCTGGATGTTCCGGTCAGAAATCTGCTGCTTCGAGTCCTGCCACGAGAGAGAAACAGAGTTAAATGCCATGTCAACACAGCATTGATCACACTATGGAAAACTGTCATCTGTGAGGAAATTAGATATGATAAATATGGTGCGTTATTATCATCTGATGAGCACTTAGTAAATTCACGTGGTTGAAAATTGTGCTAAAATATTGCAAGCTCTTACCTCCGCATTCACTGATCCATACAATTCCAGGTCTGCCTCATATGTCTTCTTGTCTGAGCCACCTGTGCCCTTGAAGTATAACCGGTTCTCTTCCACCTTGATCTCAGGCTTTGTGACATCCTCAACATTGATTGTGAGGAAAATGAGATTGCTCCTCTGGGCCCAGGATATTGAAGGGTGCATGACTCTGCAACAAGAGACATTGCAATATGTCACCATGGTGCACATCTTGCATAAACCAGCCTGGCACCATCAATTGGTTGAAGTGATCACTTCAACCAATTGATGTAATCTCACGTGAGATTACAAGCACATGGCTACTCTAACTCTTATAAATAATATAAAAATGTGACTAAATAGGAGGAATATAGGCACATGCACTAGGTAACAAGTACCAACTAGGACTAAATAGTCAGCATCATCTTATGCAGTTTCAATACATAAGTACCTATGAGTCAATGTCTCTGAAAAAGCAGCAGCTACTCCCAGATCCCAGCATATATCAGTAGCTACATCTGATAAAAACAATAATTATTGCTTCCCATTAAAGGGACCCTCCCACCTTCAAAAAAGTTAATGAATTGGCATGAAAGTGATGTCGCTCGGTTCAGAAAGAGCAAAAACGAATATCTACCAAATGTCATCGAAAAATATTCACCGGTTTTCAAGATATTAGACTTTTACTTTTTGGGATCTCCGCTGTTCCTAGCGACTTTATTTGAAAGTGCGGCATTTGTTGCGCGCAAAGCAGCATATACCACCGCGTGCTACAAAACGTTTTAGTCAAACATTTAAAAATCGTTAGATATCTGCGATGACGTCACACATTCAGAGGGGTATACCTATGCATTAGCCCCTCTGAATCAAAATGCTGCAATTTTGAAATTCAATATTTCCGATTTAAGGCATTTCTCGATGTTGTGAGTGCCGAAACCGGTAATTGTGAACCAGGGACCCCATTTTGGCTATCTCAACTCAAATCTAATGTTAAGGTGGGAGGGTCCCTTTAACATTCTATATCACCAGACAAAGGCATCTTTGTCTTCCTCAAAACACTTTCAGATTTTTTTTTTTTTACATGAGAGCTACATGACCATTCAAGCATAAATATAAAAGTTTTTTAGGATATTTGACATAATTATAACCCTCTACAAGACAGATCTACCATAAAACGCTGTTTTTCAGATTACTCATTGCACCCATGGGCCATGGCCTATATAAATCATAAAAATTTGTTTTTGTATTAGAATTTGCATTTATGAAAATATAATTTGTATTTGGCTTGGGTGTCAGAGGTGAAATTCCTATTGAAAAGGGGGATGAGAGTGGAAAATTGCCAGTTAGATAAGGCCCAAAAAGAGAGGAATAAGGATCAGTAGCATTAATTTCTATAAAAGTGTGGTAAAACTTAGGATATAAAATGATTTTTTTATAAATTTAGTCCGAACCTTTTGATGGGAAGGATTCACAAGGACAGAGCCACCGCTAAGCAAAGCTTGTTGCGATGACCCTGCCCTCTACCCTCCGATCGCGCAATTCCGATTCTATGGCAGAATTTCGAGTCCAAAGTTTAACGTGCGCACAAAGCCGCGCACGGCCGGTCCCCTCGCTGACTTCGCCTGGCTACGGCGGCACGGCCTGCCACCAACCGCAACCATACCTGTCAGGAGGCCCATAAATGTCGAGCGCCCGTCGCGCTTCGAACCCGGACTGTCATAACCGGGAACGCGTGCTCTCACCACGCGGAGTCCAACGCTCTAACCAACTGAGCTACGGGACCGGCTGTGAAAATGACCAGCCATGCAAATGCTTTTCTTTGTAAAATTGAGAGTGGAAAATTGTCCTTCGAAGTTAGAGATGACAGCACAAAAGGATTTTTATTTGGATATCATTTCCCATCCAAATCAATGTATTATGTGACACTCAATTTTCCCCATCATTGGCAGACCACTATTCTGTCACTTGACAGCTTTGATTCAGACTGGAGCAGCTGCAATTTGCACACATGGCGGCGGCGCATAAGCATCAAAATGGCACTGGCTGTCCACTGTGTTATCTAATTGTTTGAAATACAGTTGGTATAATTGTGATAACTTGAAAATAATCGCTCATTTCCGTATTTGGTTTGTGATGGTTACCATGTTATTTAGCATGGAATAATAGGTAGATTCTGATTTAAAATATGCGTTTTGATATATAAAGGTCAATTTACCCATTACTCGCAAGTCGCAACATGTCAGTATGTATTCTTCTGGTCTGATGCAAAGATGAAATGTTGTCCACGTTGCCATGCCTAGCAGTCTGGACTCTGAAGTGCTACCTGTTGTCTGTCTGCAAAGCTAATACCGCGATTTCTTAAGCTTAACTAGTAATAAAGCAAGGCAGCATGACAAATCAGTAGGCGGAACTATGGTCAAGCGTACCCATTTTCGGGAACGCATTTTCGTTCCCATGTTTGGGAACGATAAACCCAAATATGGGAACGCCATGTAGGCATTATTTAAAACAAGAAAAAGAACTGTTAAATGACGTCCAAAAAATATAAAACGATCGTGAACCGCCTGATAGTTGTCTCAATATTGTTGGGAAAGAGTTTGATATTGTAAGGCCCATCGTAGTTTCAAATCGTTCCCCTATTTCTAAAGCAGTCCATCACCCGGGCCGCGAGCCCAAATTTGGGAACGCTGTCGTACACTGGCGCTGCAAGCGTTCCTTATTATGGGAACGGCGTACCCAAAATTGGGAACGATTTCACCGACGCCTTTCAGGGGCTCTTTTCATTAACAAGCATCACGTCCAACGCCGCAAATTATTGTTAACGCAACAATCATCAGATGACCTTTCCGGCAAGACCGTTGCATGTTTCGCCCGGTCTTCTGCGCTTTTATTCCCGTCGATCTCGCAGCGGGCACGCCCCCCTCTGCAGGATTACGTAATCCACAACGCTCAGCGATGTTCAACAAGGTCTTCCATACCTATATCCACCGTCCGCGCCGAGGGTGGAGACATGTCAAGCACCTGTCTGCTAATCACCGAGAGTTGACGAGCACAAGAAGTATCCAAAAATGGGAACGCTGAATATGTTACACCCTCAAAACACCTAGTCCCAATGAAAATCTAGTTTTTTCCTTTCTTAATGAGTGTAAGTGGCAAAAGGCCTGGTAGGATGGGCACGACGTATGATCGAAATCAGCATAAAAATTATAAATAAGCCACACAGAGCGACCTATATCAGAGAAATTCCCCCAACCGATCATGCTTAGAAACGCCGAAGACAAAAACCACGCTCATGACACTGCTTATAAAACAACGCTAAACAGCTAGCATCCAAATAAAATATGTCTTTCAGGGCTGATAAAATACAGCTGAATGATTTTAAACCACTGAAACTGAGTTTACAACAGTAGTTCGGTAAAATCACTGACGTTCCACGCGGTCGATCGCCACGACACCAAATGTCAACAATATTACCTCGGGACTGTCCGCGTGTTCGCTTGCATATGTCATCATCTGGTGTCGCTAGAATGAAACTTCATAACCAGGCGAAAATTATTATACTTGACCTCAAAATGTAAAAAATGCTTCATTTTCCTTAAACTTGCATGTTAAATGTCGTATAACCCATATTTCCACCATTCTGTCATTTTTAAAAAATCATTAAAAATATCATTCCACGGTCAATTTCCTTGTTCCACGGTCAGATTAAAGATAACTTTATGGAGATTTAGTAGATACTTAAATCAGCGTGCACTTTTTTGAGACGTGATGCACTTTTGAGTTTTAGTGGGCGAACGGCCGAAAAATTGCCTTCCGTTCTCATAAATGGGAACGCCCGTTCCCATATTTGGGAACTCCGTTCCCAAAAATGGGAACGTTCCTATATTTGGGTACTCATGACCATAGTTCCGCCTACTGAAATATTTTTACAATCTTCTTACCCAGCGTTTGACATTTTCGGCCACTTCTAAGCAACAAGGAAGAGTTTTCTTAGCTTCGAGCAAGGCTATATAAACCGCTTCGAGACAATGCTCTAATAGATTAAATCACTTCCAAATTAACCCCACTTGCCAGGGCCGCGCTAAATTGAAATGCTTCTAAACTCTCTCCTCGGGGAACGCTGCTGTGCAATACGCAACGTCTGTCAAACTAGCAGCGAGCAGCGAGCAGCGAGTCCAGCAGCGAGAAACGGGCCATCCCGATTTAGCTGAAATTTGGCTCACAGAGCCTTCTCAGCACGCTGATTCCGAAAATCATGGTCTCTAGGGTGGAAATATTGACCGTTCTCGAGATAGAACCCTCTAAAGTTCTTACCATCCATGACCGGGCCATCCCGATTTGGCTAAAAATTGGCTCACAGAGCCTTCTCAGCACGCTGATTCCGAAAATCATGGTCTCTAGGGTAGAAATATTGACCATTCTCGAGATAGAACCCTCTAAAGTTCCTACCATCCATGACCGGGCCATCCCGATTTGGCTGAAAATTGGCTCACAGAGCCTTCTCAGCACGCTGATTCCGAAAATCATGGTCTCTAGGGTGGAAATATTGACCGTTCTCGAGATAGAACCCTCTAAAGTTCTTACCACCCATTACCGGGCCATCCCGATTTGGCTGAAAATTGGCTCACAGAGCCTTCTCAGCACGCTGATTCCGAAAATCATGGTCTCTAGGGTGGAAATATTGACTGTTCTCGAGATAGAACCCTCGCAGCGAGTCCAGCAGCGAGAAACGGGCCATCCCGATTTAGCTGAAATTTGGCTCACAGAGCCTTCTCAGCACGCTGATTCCGAAAATCATGGTCTCTAAGGTGGAAATATTGACCGTTCTCGAGATAGAACCCTCTAAAGTTCTTACCACCCATGACCGGGCCATCCCGATTTGGCTGAAAATTGGCTCACAGAGCCTTCTCAGCACGCTGATTCCGAAAATCATGGTCTCTAGGGTGGAAATATTGACCGTTCTCGAGATATAACCCTCTAAAGTTCTTACCACCCATGACCGGGCCATCCCGATTTGGCTGAAAATTGGCTCACAGAGCCTTCTCAGCACGCTGATTCCGAAAATCATGGTCTCTAAGGTGGAAATATTGACCGTTCTCGAGATAGAACCCTCTAAAGTTCTTACCAGCCATGACCGGGCCATCCCGATTTGGCTGAAAATTGGCTCACAGAGCCTTCTCAGCACGCTGATTCCGAAAATCATGGTCTGTAGGGTGGAAATATTGACCGTTCTCGAGATAGAACCCTCTAAAGTTCTTACCATCCATGACCGGGCCATCCCGATTTGGCTGAAAATTGGCTCACAGAGCCTTCTCAGCACGCTGATTCCGAAAATCATGGTCTCTAGGGTGGAAATATTGACCGTTCTCGAGATAGAACCCTCTAAAGTTCTTACCATCCATGACTGGGCCATCCCGATTTGGCTGAAAATTGGCTCACAGAGCTTCTCAGCACGCTGATTCCGAAAATCATGGTCTCTAGGGTGGAAATATCGATAGGCGTTATCACAAGTGTATTCGCGGCCATTGGGGCGACGTAAGAAAAGAAGAAACCAACTGGCCCCAAGAACTTTAAATTATCAGTTAGCATGCACCTTTTCCTTGATGTGTAGAGAATTTACCATTATTTATTACAGAAAATTGCATTTAAAATCTTCCATTTATGCTTTTTTCATCGTTTGCACAATATCTTCTTTTACTCAGCCAGAAACAATAATTAGAAATAGTTCCCGCATCATCAAGAACAATAGAGAAGGCTCGAAGTGAATAAAATGATTTAAACGGTGTTGTAATCTATTGAAGGCACTTCTAAAATTGCCTGTAGAAATATTGAAGGCAAAAGTTCAACTTTTTCACAAGACGGATGTCTATAAACCTATTTAACTTGTGACAACTCAGCCGGTATTTCGTCGCCTACAGCCCAGCTTTCCCTAGTGACCGATAGAGGCGCTGCTATCGATGTCCGCCCGTGCCGCCTAACGTTGACCGTTCTCGAGATAACACCCTCGCAGCGAGTCCAGCAGCGAGAAACGGGCCATCCCGATTTAGCTGAAATTTGGCTCACGGAGCCTTCTCAGCACGCTGATTCCGAAAATCATGGTCTCTAGGGTGGAAATATTGACCGTTCTCGAGATAGAACCCTCTAAAGTTCTTACCACCCATGACCGGGCCATCCCGATTTAGCTAAAAATTGGCTCACAGAGCCTTCTCAGCACGCTGATTCCGAAAATCATGGTCTCTTGGGTGGAAATATTGACCGTTCTCGAGATAGAACCCTCGCAGCGAGTCCAGCAGCGAGAAACGGGCCATCCTGATTTAGCTGAAATTTGGCTCACAGAGCCTTCTCAGCACGCTGATTCCGAAAATGATGGTCTCTAGGGTGGAAATCTTGACCGTTCTCGAGATAGAACCCTCTAAAGTTCTTATCACCCATGACCGGGCCATCCCGATTTGGCTGAAAATTGGCTCACAGAGCCTTCTCAGCACGCTGATTCCGAAATCATGGTCTCTAGGGTGGAAATATTGACCGTTCTCGAGATAGAACCCTCGCGGCGAGTCCAGCAGCGAGAAACGGGCCATCCCGATTTAGCTGAAATTTGGCTCACAGAGCCTTCTCAGCACGCTGATTCCGAAAATCATGGTCTCTAGGGTGGAAATATTGACCGTTCTCGAGATAGAACCCTCTAAAGTTCTTACCATCCATGACCGGGCCATCCCGATTTGGCTGAAAACTGGCTCACAGAGCCTTCTCAGCACGCTGATTCCGAAAATCATGGTCTCTAGGGTGGAAATATTGACCATTCTCGAGATAGAACCCTCTAAAGTTCCTACCATCCATGACCGGGCCATCCCGATTTGGCTGAAAATTGGCTCACAGAGCCTTCTCAGCACGCTGATTCCGAAAATCATGGTCTCTAGGGTGGAAATATTGACCATTCTCGAGATAGAACCCTCTAAAGTTCTTACCACCCATGACCGGGCCATCCCGATTTGGCTGAAAATTGGCTCACAGAGCCTTCTCAGCACGCTGATTCCGAAAATCATGGTCTCTTGGGTGGAAATATTGACCGTTCTCGAGATAGAACCCTCGCAGCGAGTCCAGCAGCGAGAAACGGGCCATCCCGATTTAGCTGAAATTTGGCTCACAGAGCCTTCTCAGCACGCTGATTCCGAAAATCATGGTCTCTAGGGTGGAAATATTGACCGTTCTCGAGAAAGAACCCTCTAAAGTTCTTACCATCCATGACCGGGCCATCCCGATTTGGCTGAAAATTGGCTCACAGAGCCTTCTCAGCACGCTGATTCCGAAAATCATGGTCTCTAGGGTGGAAATATTGACCGTTCTCGAGATAGAACCCTCTAAAGTTCTTACCACCCATTACCGGGCCATCCCGATTTGGCTGAAAATTGGCTCACAGAGCCTTCTCAACACGCTAATTCCGAAAATCATGGTCTCTAGGGTGGAAATATTGACTGTTCTCGAGATAGAACCCTCGCAGCGAGTCCAGCAGCGAGAAACGGGCCATCCCGATTTAGCTGAAATTTGGCTCACAGAGCCTTCTCAGCACGCTGATTCCGAAAATCATGGTCTCTAGGGTGGAAATATTGACCGTTCTCGAGATAGCACCCTCTAAAGTTCTTACCACCCATGACCGGGCCATCCCGATTTGGCTGAAAATTGGCTCACAGAGCCTTCTCAGCACGCTGATTCCGAAAATCATGGTCTCTAGGGTGGAAATATTGACCGTTCTCGAGATAGAACCCTCTAAAGTTCTTACCACCCATGACCGGGCCATCCCGATTTGGCTGAAAATTGGCTCACAGAGCCTTCTCAGCACGTTGATTCCGAAAATCATGGTCTCTAGGGTGGAAATATTGACCGTTCTCGAGATAGAACCCTCTAAAGTTCTTACCAGCCATGACCGGGCCATCCCGATTTGGCTGAAAATTGGCTCACAGAGCCTTCTCAGCACGCTGATTCCGAAAATCATGGTCTCTAGGGTGGAAATATTGACCGTTCTCGAGATAGAACCCTCTAAAGTTCTTACCATCCATGACCGGGCCATCCCGATTTGGCTGAAAATTGGCTCACAGAGCCTTCTCAGCACGCTGATTCCGAAAATCATGTTTCTAGGGTGGAAATATTGACCGTTCTCGAGATAGAACCCTCGCAGCGAGTCCAGCAGCGAGAAACGGGCCATCCCGATTTAGCTGAAATTTGGCTCACAGAGCCTTCTCAGCACGCTGATTCCGAAAATCATGGTCTCTAGGGTGGAAATATTGACCGTTCTCGAGATAGAACCCTCTAAAATTCTTACCATCCATGACCGGGCCATCCCGATTTGGCTGAAAATTGGCTCACAGAGCCTTCTCAGCACGCTGATTCCGAAAATCATGGTTTCTAGGGTGGAAATATTGACCGTTCTCGAGATAGAACCTCTAAAGTTCTTACCACCCATTACCGGGCCATCCCGATTTGGCTGAAAATTGGCTCACAGAGCCTTCTCAGCACGCTGATTTCGAAAATAATGGTCTCTAGGGTGGAAATATTGACTGTTCTCGAGATAGAACCCTCGCAGCGAATCCAGCAGCGAGAAACGGGCCATCCCGATTTAGCTGAAATTTGGCTCACAGAGCCTTCTCAGCACGCTGATTCCGAAAATCATGGTCTCTAAGGTGGAAATATTGACTGTTCTCGAGATAGAACCCTCTAAAGTTCTTACCACCCATGACCGGGCCATCCCGATTTGGCTGAAAATTGGCTCACAGAGCCTTCTTAGCACGCTGATTCCGAAAATCATGGTCTCTAGGGTGGAAATATTGACCGTTCTCGAGATAGAACCCTCTAAAGTTCTTACCATCCATGACCGGGCCATCCCGATTTGGCTGAAAATTGGCTCACAGAGCCTTCTCAGCACGCTGATTCCGAAAATCATGGTCTCTAGGGTGGAAATATTGACCATTCTCGAGATAGAACCCTCTAAAGTTCCTACCATCCATGACCGGGCCATCCCGATTTGGCTGAAAATTGGCTCACAGAGCCTTCTCAGCACGCTGATTCCGAAAATCATGGTCCCTAGGGTGGAAATATTGACCATTCTCGAGATAGAACCCTCTAAAGTTCTTACCACCCATGACCGGGCCATCCCGATTTGGCTGAAAATTGGCTCACAGAGCCTTCTCAGCACGCTGATTCCGAAAATCATGGTCTCTTGGGTGGAAATATTGACTGTTCTCGAGATAGAACCCTCGCAGCGAGTCCAGCAGCGAGAAACGGGCCATCCCGATTTAGCTGAAATTTGGCTCACGGAGCCTTCTCAGCACGCTGATTCCGAAAATCATGGTCTCTAGGGTGGAAATATTGACCGTTCTCGAGATAGAACCCTCTTAAGTTCTTACCACCCATGACCGGGCCATCCCGATTTGGCTAAAAATTGGCTCACAGAGCCTTCTCAGCACGCTGATTCCGAAAATCATGGTCTCTTGGGTGGAAATATTGACCGTTCTCGAGATAGAACCCTCGCAGCGAGTCCAGCTGCGAGAAACGGGCCATCCTGATTTAGCTGAAATTTGGCTCACAGAGCCTTCTCAGCACGCTGATTCCGAAAATGATGGTCTCTAGGGTGGAAATCTTGACCGTTCTCGAGATAGAACCCTCTAAAGTTCTTATCACCCATGACCGGGCCATCCCGATTTGGCTGAAAATTGGCTCACAGAGCCTTCTCAGCACGCTGATTCCGAAAATCATGGTCTCTAGGGTAGAAATATTGACTGTTCTCGAGATAGAACCCTCGCGGCGAGTCCAGCAGCGAGAAACGGGCCATCCCGATTTAGCTGAAATTTGGCTCACAGAGCCTTCTCAGCACGCTGATTCCGAAAATCATGGTCTCTAGGGTGGAAATATTGACCGTTCTCGAGATAGAACCCTCTAAAGTTCTTACCATCCATGACCGGGCCATCCCGATTTGGCTGAAAATTGGCTCACAGAGCCTTCTCAGCACGCTGATTCCGAAAATCATGGTCTGTAGGGTGGAAATATTGACCGTTCTCGAGATAGAACCCTCGCAGCGAGTCCAGCAGCGAGAAACGGGCCATCCTGATTTAGCTGAAATTTGGCTCACAGAGCCTTCTCAGCACGCTGATTCCGAAAATGATGGTCTCTAGGGTGGAAATCTTGACCGTTCTCGAGATAGAACCCTCTAAAGTTCTTATCACCCATGACCGGGCCATCCCGATTTGGCTGAAAATTGGCTCACAGAGCCTTCTCAGCACGCTGATTCCGAAAATCATGGTCTCTAGGGTGGAAATATTGACTGTTCTCGAGATAGAACCCTCGCGGCGAGTCCAGCAGCGAGAAACGGGCCATCCCGATTTAGCTGAAATTTGGCTCACAGAGCCTTCTCAGCACGCTGATTCCGAAAATCATGGTCTCTAGGGTGGAAATATTGACCGTTCTCGAGATAGAACCCTCTAAAGTTCTTACCATCCATGACCGGGCCATCCCGATTTGGCTGAAAATTGGCTCACAGAGCCTTCTCAGCACGCTGATTCCGAAAATCATGGTCTGTAGGGTGGAAATATTGACCGTTCTCGAGATAGAACCCTCTAAAGTTCTTACCATCCATGACCGGGCCATCCCGATTTGGCTGAAAATTGGCTCACAGAGCCTTCTCAGCACGCTGATTCCGAAAATCATGGTCTCTAGGGTGGAAATATTGACTGTTCTCGAGATAGAACCCTCGCAGCGAGTCCAGCAGCGAGAAACGGGCCATCCCGATTTAGCTGAAATTTGGCTCACAGAGCCTTCTCAGCACGCTGATTCCGAAAATCATGGTCTCTAGGGTGGAAATATTGACCGTTCTCGAGATAGAACCCTCTAAAGTTCTTACCACCCATGACCGGGCCATCCCGATTTGGCTGAAAATTGGCTCACAGAGCCTTCTCAGCACGCTGATTCCGAAAATCATGGTCTCTTGGGTGGAAATATTGACCGTTCTCGAGATAGAACCCTCGCAGCGAGTCCATGACCATGATTTACCATGTTCTATCTCGAGAACGGTCAATATTTCCACCCAAGAGACCATGATTTTCGGAATCAGCGTGCTGAGAAGGCTCTGTAAGCCAATTTTCAGCCAAATCGGGATGGCCCGGTCATGGGTGGTAAGAACTTTAGAGGGTTCTATCTCGAGAACGGTCAATATTTCCACCCTAGAGACCATGATTTTCGGAATCAGCGTGCTGAGAAGGCTCTGTGAGCCAATTTTCAGCCAAATCGGGATGGCCCGGTCATGGGTGGTAAGAACTTTAAAGGGTTCTATCTCGAGAACGGTCAATATTTCCACCCTAGAGACCATGATTTTCGGAATCAGCGTGCTGAGAAGGCTCTGTGAGCCAAATTTCAGCTAAATCGGGATGGCCCGTTTCTCGCTGCTGGACTCGCTGCTCGCTGCTCGCTGCTAGTTTGACAGACGTCAATACGCAAGCGTATAGAACAATCTAGTAAATAAGCAGTCGCAGACCACACGCTACCAATATTCAATTTCTTCATTAGTGACGTCAACGAAATCGGCAAATGATTGCAATAAGTATTTTGGTTTGCATAGCATGAATCATTTTTTTTCTTTTTACGAACTGCTACAGTGCCAGATTGCAATTGCTAATAAAACATTTTCTGTGAAAGTCCTCATTTCAATTTCCTGAAACATTCCGCAAAAAATGATTCAGTTTCGAATCTAAATGAAGATTCTGTGACGTCATTATTTGAAACAGAAACAAGAATATCGAAGTAATTTATGAACTTATGTTTGTATTTGGTGCGCTACAATAGGCTAGCGGGCTCAAGGTATTGTACTACTAATTTGTTTTTCATATTTTTATATGCAGGAAGTGGCCGATTACAAACTGAGCTGATGGTTTAGAAGGCCTTATACCATAGGCGTTATAATCTAAAATCTTATAAGCATTGATATGGGTCTACACTCTACTTTGCGTTGCTTTCAGAATGATCGGGACAGCCAAGGCCCTAAAGACAGACCCTAAGGCGGGGACAGCGATGTCGCGGACTTGGCGGCTCAATCAAATGGTTAATGGACAAATGCCGAATGCGTGCGGTGCAGTCGAAGACCCGTTCCCGTTGTTGTACTCGCGTTTTGATTTAAGGCACATCTTGATGTTGTCCTGTCTCCTTCTGAGACAAGGAAGGAACTTCGCCTCCCTTTCCTTTTGGGCTTTGGCTTTTCTCTAAAAGAGGCTATTTTGGCCTTTATCAGGTGGCAAAATCGGTTCCTGAAGGCCTGACTCGCTCGTTCGCCAACAGCTAATTAATTGAGTGGATGGGTCCTTTGTGGGCATCCAGAGCAAACCGCGAGTTTGATCTGCGGTGCGCGAGCCTGTGCCGTCATATAAGCTGTCTGTGTGTGTTTGAAGCTGAGGGCATGACGCTGCGCCTATCAGCCTGAACCGCACTGCGTCTGTGCAGTAGGTCGTGACTCGTGACTCGTGAGTCATGACTCGTGAGTTTGAGCCGCTCTGCATCTGACCGCGAGTCTGGCCGGCACTGTATCTGAGCGGGCGAGCGGAGCCGACTGTTCTGACGTCAGCGGGTCTGGCTGCGCCGGCGCCGGTCAGCTGACGGAGCGGCGGCGGCGGCGGCGGCGGCGGCGGCGGCTCTCGGCAGTCGTGTGCGGTCTCCCCAACCAGTCGTGGTGTTCGGGCGGAGTCCGGCAGGCGAGTGGCGTGCATCTGTCCCGAGAACTCCTCGCCAGCAGGAGACCACGCACCGGTGTGTTGTCTGAAGTACAAAAGCCGGCGACGAGGTCAGGTCAGTAGGTACCGGGGCCGGAGGGGTCAATGCTCGGACAGCCCGCCGTCTGGAGTGGGGCAATCGATCCAGGCGCGCCCGATGGCTCGTGGGGCCGCCGACCGGAGTGTGGCTGAGTACAGTGAGTAGTGAGGCAGGTCACGGAGGTGCCGGTCCGGGCGGGACGCGCACCGAAGCACCGGCTGGAGCATAGGCGGCGGAACGGGGAGGGCACCGGGGCACCGTGCCCCCCTTTGATTTTGGCATTTTAACATTAGCCCTATGGGCGTTGCATAGAAAGAATGGGACTAAAAGTCGGCAGTGCTCCCCTTTATTGAAGGTGTTCCGCCGCTACTGGGCTGGAGGAGGCGGCATTGCTCATTGAGGTCTGTCCCGGAGCTCGGCCACAAAAATGTGTCGGAATTCTGAGCTATTTCGATCCCGTTTGTTGGCGTAAAATGTTGAGGACTCTTGGTTTGTTTACGGATAAGGCCATATACAAAATACGACGGATCTTTTTACTTATATTATTATCTAAGTCCTAAAAAGGCTTGCTTCTATTTGTGCTAGTCAGCAGCTGCACCTGTAACACTGTGACATCGCGTGCCAATTGGTGTCCACTCAATGCATGCATAGTGCATTGGAAGGGGAGTGCCGAGTTCAATCAGTGACGTCAACACTTCACGCCGTTTATTTGCATGTTGTTCGGAGCTATCGTGACTCAGAGACTTGGCAAGCTGAGCGGAGCTGATAGAAGTCCACGATAGCAACTGTGGTAACAGTAAAGTAACACATGAGTTCGAGCCGCGGAGTGGCTGCTGTAGATATAGTTTGAGTATGGTCCTGCAACGTTTAAAGCATAGCTATAGTTAAACCCACAATACACACACTACAGACGACAAATAAAACCAATATGAGGCGGAGTGGAGGCATATTATTAAAATTTAAATATGCCTACATTACAATAACAAAAGCCAGCAGTCTGGCTCTCATACAAGGTCATGTTTGTATACCGTGCGCACTGCTCTGTGTCGCTGTTCTAGCCACTGTAGCACGCCGGTCGCGGCACGCCTGTGTGCTCTCGGGCGTGCCTGTGCGCCCTCTCTGCTCGCGCCGCGCTGTTTTACCGTCAAGGTCGTGGGTGGGTCCGGGCGCTCCGACTGGTAGCGAATTCCGCCGCACACAGTACACTGGAGCCAGCGTGACGCGGTCGGTTCCCGTCCTGTTCCCACCATTAGCGAAAGCCGGAGCCATGATGATGCGACGAAGCTGGGTGATGATTACCAGCTCCGCACTGCTCGTAGCTGCTTCTTTCAGCAGTAGTGTATCGCAGATTAGCTTGGCAGAGGGACTCCCGACTCCGAGAGAGCTGGGTCTTCGGTCTACCTTACGTGATGTGGGCGGTCTTTGGTGCTCGACACCCTCGGACAACGGAACTATTGAAAAAGGTTCCGGCCCTTCCCCACCCCGGCCCTTTCCCAGACCATGATGAAAACAGAGACCCTCTCTGGACCATGTTGGAGACCGGCAATCTCCTCGGGCCGTTTTCATCACACCTGACTCGGACCACATTCAGGAGCGCCATCTTCTCCTCGTGCCGGTTCTTTCTCCTGGTTCTTCAAACAACGAAACACCCCCGAAACGAGGAAAACACGTCCGGTAACCACACTAACTGCTGCGACCGGCGCCCTCCTCGTTGCCCATCAGGTGGTCGCCGGCCGGGGTCGGAGCGGCGTCTCCCCGGTTCCCGGAACGTCACGGTCTAGTACGACCCGAGGTGAAAGTGTACGGAGCCATCGCGACAGGCCCCGGGGAGGCTCCTAACGACAGGAGGTCGACGAGGTCCACTCCCGTGGCCAGTGCACGAGATGCTATGCATAAACTCTGAGCTATAATGATCAGCGCTGGAAGCGAGTTTTGCATATGCTCCAATTCAAACTATCATCGTGCAGGACCATGACCTCCTGTAGCATAGAAGACCGTTTTGGCAACTGAGGCCGACTGTGAAGTGTGCAGTTGTGATATCAAGAGAGGCCTACTATCGCCGATTCGCCGTCATATACCTATTTATGAGTCTGAAGCAGTTGGACACTGGTGATTCGGTGGACAGCCTGACCCATAAGTCGACCCACGTGCCTTTGGGCTAGTCCAACCCGCTGTCGCTGGGTGTGGGCTTATTTAATCCAGGTCTGACCCATGGGTCATACCCAATTGCACCGAATTCGGGTCTGTTTGACCCCTGCTCACTGGGGATGGACTGCCCGGCCCATGTCTGACCCACGCCCGCTGGGGATAGACTGCCCGGCCCATTTCTGACCCACGCCCTCCAGCTAAAGCCGCGTTTCCGCTCTTTGTGTATCGGTGAATCTGCATTGGTGAATCGTTGGCATTTGCACAGTCATTGACCGAATGAGAGCAAACGACCTCATGGAAATGCGATATTGCTGACGTTTTATCATCAGTTAGTGCGGATTGCAAAATGGCTGTTTGGTATGTTCATGTCTGCAAAATTGTGAGTTTCCGCTGTATTTTTGCATGCAGCATGCAAATTAATATTTGATTGTGGCAGAAGCCAGGCTGTCTTGTTGCCTGATTTACGTTTGTTTTACTTTTTATTTGGTTGCCTGGTATAGCCAGTACCGGACTGAGAGGATACTGAGAGCCACCATGTGCATTGCAGACAAATCAGATGTAGAGAGCGAGCGTTCCCATAAAACAGCGTCAGCCCACGCCAACATAAAGCGACTTCGGGAATCGAAATCGGCGACGCGCTATCAGAGGTCCAGTCCTTCAACACAGCCTATCTTCCTTTGACTGTGGACGTGACGCATCCAGTTCTGCCGCGGGGATGTGGTGGCTGCAATCCCAGACAGCTCTATTCAGCCGCAGCCTTTGCCGAGGTGATTTCAGCAAATCACTGTGGATACGAGTCGAGGTCGACCTCATCATCACGCGTCCGACGGCTCCATAGTGATGTTTGGGCTCCATAGCGTCTGACGGCTCCATAGCGAGGCTGTTTGGGAGGGAGAGGCGTGATTCGATGGGAAAATAAAGTGGGAGTGGAGACAAATTGCTGGAAGAGTAAACGAGATATTCGTTCCGCATGAGTGGGTGAAAATGAATATAAATTTGTTATTGTTCATCTCTCCTTACGACTTACGTTCAGTGATGTTCTGTACAGACTTAGAGAAAGAGCGTAGATGTTGACGTTTGATCGTCAGTTATGCACGGCTTATTGCAATCTCCGGCACTTGCAAGACCGTCATGAAAACATATGCCGTTGCAAGTAAAACCGTTGCGACCCTGCTGCGTACTACAACGCTGTTGAGGTGTGTGTCTAGAGGTCCAGCTGGAGTCAATGAAGGGAAAACGGCACACTAAACCACTTCGACAAGTTTTGGTTCGCGACATGGCGCAATTGAACGGGAGTTTTATTTCAACACATACGCCGATTTACCGGGACTGTTCTGGTATGAGGATGGGATGTCGTACAAAATGTTAATCATACCACATATGTAGTAAATATGTCTTGACGTTATTTACATCATTATCAAAGGCTTGTAACTCATGAAATGACATTACCATTACATGACATTAAGGGTTATAATTTTGAAAATGACGCAACAGCTGCTCGAAAAACGAACAATCATATCCTAAGTAAAGTAGGTATATTTTTATGCGTAATGCGTACAAATATAGCAGTGGGGCGGACAAAAAATTAATTAAAAATCCACGACGCTGCCTTTTGTGACGGTTGGAGCTCCTCCTGATGTTTAATTTTGAATATTTAATGTACATTAAATGTAACAAACAAATTTTGTTTCGATGCGCTTATTACAAAATGGTACGGCACCATCCTCCAGGCTGCAGCTCAGTGAACGTTGCCGGCACTTTTAGAGGAGACACAGACAGAGAGAGTACCAAACAGCTGAAATCCCTTTTCCTCGTCACTCGTTCTTTGTTCTGCAGCGATGTTGCCGGCCTGTGGCTTGTCGGAAGGATTAAAACTCGCTGCCAGGCGGGACACACTGACTGCAGGAGTGTGAAGTTCAAAAGACTTCAAACGCGAGATCCACTATGAGTTCACTGTGGATCCTATTGTATCCCGCCGGATGTCCGCTACGTGCCACGCTGTCACATCTCACAAAGCATCTCAGCTAGAAAAGACGCAGCTTCATATTAGAAATCAATTTTATATTTTTGATCGAACTCATGTTAATATCACAGCGGTACTGAGCACCGACAGGAGGAATTCTCTAACTAAAACAGTTTCCATACTTAACCTTAACCCTCGCCGGACCTATTGGTTTTCTACATACGCGCCGGCCGAGGGGGGGGGGGCGGGTACGACCCCCCCTCGCCGTTTCGCCCCTGGTGGAGCTAGCGCGTCGCGGAAAAAACGAGCGTGTGCGCCGTTACGAGACGCAGAGATTGGTACCCGATTTTAAGGTCCTAGGTCAACCGGTGACCTCTGAGGTCAGGTCAAGTGCCCCAGGGTACGGTTCAGTTTTTGGTGAATAACTTCGCAAAAAACGGCCGCAGAGCCGCGATTTTGGCAGCATCGTGTTAGCCTTGCTCAGGCGCGTCGAGTGATATACTTTTTGTTTGGGTCAGGTCAACTTAGGGTGTTGACCTCAGGTCAAGGTCAGGTCAGCACCCCCAGGTCACGAAGTTGGTCGAAAGAGGTCATGTCGCATATCATTCGATTCGGCAGGTCTTCCTGAGTCCATTGGTGGCTTTCCCGACTCGCTAGCTCAATTTGATCGGGAGTTATTGACGAAAAACTAATATGACCTTGATGACGTCATAAATGACGTCACGGAAGGTCAACATTGCAAAAGTGACGCATCTAACCTTGCAAGGAGTGCATCAAATCACGATTCTGTGTGCTTGAGATAGTTGGAGATCGTTCCCGGTGCCAGAATAGCAGTTTGAATTTTTCCCCATTGACTTATAATGGTGAGGTCACGAAAATGACCTGACCTCATATGACCTTTAGGAAAAATCCGAGATATACAAGTTGTGAGACTCATAATGGCACTGGCGGATCCAGACTTGCGTTTTGGGGGGGGCCAACTCGTGCAAGGAGCCAAACCTAGGGTACCCCCAAATCCTGTTTTCTCATCGGATTTAGGCCACTTATTTTTCGTCACAGCCCTGAAACGATAATTTTTTTAAACTAAAAAAAAAAAATAGAGAGAGAAATGGTAGCCCACTCAACCCGTGCCTTAATATTACTTTGAAAACACTTCAAATTGCTTTTGTCGACCACCGCTCCGGGTCGGTGCTTGGCGCAGCCTTCGCGGGCTGGGAGGTGTCGGTTGAACCTCTCTGCCGTTCGGCCCCTGATCAAGCTAGAGCTCGCGGAAAAAACGAGTGTGTTGCCTGTCAGTGACGAGAGGAAGCCGATGATACCCGATTTTAAGGTCCTTGGTCATTGGTTGACCTTCCAGGGCGGTGTTTCACGGTCGCGCTGCCAGCCGCTGCCAGCGCATTCCGCGAGCTAAGGTCAACCTTCGGTAGTGTTGTAGGTATAGGCTAGTTGATGTCTCCATGGAAACCAAAAGTGCCAACAGCGCTGGCAGCGTGCCGTGAAACACCGCCCAGGTCAGGTCACAGACCCAAAAGACGGAAAAATCAGGGCCTGTCAGAACCTCCTAAAGTAAGGCTGTAATAGATTTTTTTGTGCTGATCACGAATTTCATGTTAGTTTGGATCATAGATGATGTCTTCATGCCTTTAGGCCATGTCGGGGCAGGCCAGGTCAGGTCAACCAGGTCAACCAGTACTTATGGGCGTCCGTGTAGCAGGTGTCCGACTACCACTGGCAGCTACGTAACATGATACGAAGGCATCAAAACTACTTCGTAAATGTTCAAATGGTTGCTAAATGCTAAATTCAAAATCAGCTAAACGAAACTATCCTAGAAACATGTTAAACTCGGAAAAGTGCACCGAGGTCATCAAAGGTCAATGACCTGACTTGACCCTAAGGTGACATTGACACCTACCACAATGGTTGGGACCAACATCATTTCACATGTTTGAGCGTTTTAAACCACGAAAAGACTGTAAACGAGCGGATAATGTGAGCCGACATACGCGGAATCGCGATTCCGGCCAAACATGGCCTCAAACATGGCCAAACATATGGTGCGTTCGGAGAGGCACATTCCACGTGGAATCCGTGGAATACTCCATGCGCGCGGAACATTCCCGGAGATTGGCCGTTCAGAGAGATAACGCCTCCGAACGCGGCACGGGGAATATTCCAGGGGACGGTGAATATTCCATGCTCTCCGAACGCACAGATAGTCTCGAGAAATAGGCCACAGGTCAAAGGTCACTTGGGTCAGGGTCATGAAATTTTCAGACTTTGTCAACATGAGGGTGCTAAAGTTTCGTCGCGATCGGATTCATGATAACTTACACGATAACTTCACGCGTCGATCGAGAGGTAAAGTATGCAATAAGAACTTCTTGGGTGAAGACGAGACCAACACTCAAGCTCACATATTTTTAATGATACGGTAGTTTCTACCTACTACGCTACTTTCTCACATTCATATTTCTTGAGTTTTTTTGGGGGCCAAAATACATGTTGCCCCCTTTCAGGCTTGGGGGCATGACCCCGTGGCCCCCCTGGATCCGCTAGGCCGAAACTAACTAAGCCGTTTTCAAACGGTCTGATATTTCAGGTCATGGTTTGCAAACGGCCGGTGTTTTCAGGCTGTTTCATATGCCCTGACTGGGCCAGGCGGTTTGCAAACGGACAATTTTCATACGGCCTGTAACATATATTCATATTTCACCATCTGTCGCAGCATCAAATGCTGATGTGGTGCACTCAAAAGCCGGAATTGGTCCTTGGATGCCGTAAGGACCCTTTTAAGATATAAGTGACCCGACTGACCCCTTAGAGATTGGCCTGAGCTCTGACCGAAATAAGTCTTTTACCGTTTCACGGGAAGGGACAAAAAGGTCCCTGATATGCTTCTTGTACAATTACCAAACAAAACAAGCTTTTCAACGCCAACTCAGTGAGTGTTCCTAAAAAAATTATTGCGCATATTCCGTGAATGAAAAATTGCCGGGTCATGTCAGGTCAGGCTGCCAGAGCAAGTTTGTTAACTTGACAGTTCAATCGATATGTATGCAATAAGACCTTCTCGGGTGACGACAAGACATGACGACACTTTATGAAGGAAGCTAGTAAACCCGGTGGTTTCTCCATAGGCACGGGAACCGGGGCAGTGGGGACAGCTTGCCCACCCCCCAACTATGGGGCCGTGGGGGCGGTGCCCCCACAACTTTCAGACGGAATACCCCATTTTTTGCAAATGTTTTCTTTTTTTGTTGAAAAAAGCCAAGGGATGAAAAATAAGTGGCCTAAAACCACCGGTGAGAAAACTATATTTGGGGAGACCCTAGGTTGATCTCTATTATGGTGTGCCCCCCCCCCCAGTCTGAAAGTAGTTCCCGCACCCCTGAGTTTCTCTACGCTATTGAATCACGCCGGTGATTCTAACTTTTAGGTATCTACTACGCAACCTTCTCACATTAATTTTTCTTCAAGCGTTTTGGGAGGGGGGCCAAAAGATATGTTGGCCCCCCTTTCAGGCTTTTGGGGGGCCATGGCCCCGGTGGCCCCCTCCCTGAATCCACCAGTGGGGGGCGGTGCCACCACAACTTTCAGACGGAATACCGCCCTTTTTGCAAATGTTTTCTTTTTTTGTTGAAAAAGCCAAGAGATGAAAAATAAGTGGCCTAAAACCGGTGAGAAACTAGATTTGGGGGGACCCTAGGTTGATCTCTATTATGGTGTGCCCCCCCCCCAGTCTGAAAGTAGTTCCCGCACCCCTGACTTTCTCTACGCTATTGAATCACGCTGCTGATTCTAGTAGGTATCTACTACGCAACCATCTCACATTAATTTTTCTTCAAGCGTTTTGGGGGGGGCCAAAAGATATGTTGGCCCCCCCTTTCAGGCTTTTGGGGGGGCCATGGCCCCGGTGGCCCCCCCCTGGATCCGCCAGTGCATAATGGATACTAGATCCTGCAAGTTTCATTTCCCTGTGACATCTCCTCTGGCAGTGAGGGCGTTGCGAAGTTGCGACATCTGAAGACCGTGCAGAGGTTCACTTATGACGTCATAGGTCAGTGACCTGACCTGACCCAAAAATGCGGTTGGTGTCAAAAGATGCGGCTTGGATCAAAGGTCAGGTATGCCAAGTTTCAGCTCTCTATCGCCAGCGTGTTCGGAGCTATCGCGAAAAAACCCTATGGGGGGGGGGGGGCGGCACCCGCCCCCCCCTCGGCCGGCGAGGGTTAAACGTAATCATTTTTTACGGCTTGATCAATTTTATTCTGTTGGAGTGATTATGTCAACGTAATCTTGACATGATATCGGCCGGCGCTTAAATGTTGCATCGCGGTTATGAGTTCATAATTAACGGCATCGCACCGTTATGGATGTTTCAATGCTTCGTGATGATCTCACATCTCTCTGCTTTATCAAAACTAAAGTTTTTTTTTCGCTAACACTAATTATCAGTACTTATATATAACCCCAGGGCTATAAGAACACACGATCATATTCCGCTTGCCTTCATTGCAACTTAACATATGTTTCAATGTTACTAGTTGGTTCCTAGAGTCTCGTATAGCCTTATGTGCGATCTTATCAAATGTTACCTGTCACAAACTTCTCATGGGCTTCCTCCGTTTCTGAGGAACTGACCCTTAAAGTATACAAGTGCCGTGGCCTTCGCGACTGTCAATTTGTATATCATACGCAGACGAACGTCTCTGCTGAATATGTGTGTTTCTGGTAGAATGTTTCGCAATCGCCAGATGGTATTTTGTGAACTGTTCAGTCCCCTGTAACTTTATAACCGTAGAACCCGTGCAACCGGTATTTACAAAGCTGTGTCTTGCATACTTCTAGCCGCATCTTAGTGTGATAAATCGGTGCTCAAGAGAGTTGATTGATAAGGGGGAATTTTGCTGTCTTCAGTCTTGGCTCTTGAAATGTTCGCTTTAGCCGCATAAGTTTTTGTGTCTTCTCGGTGAAAATGCGGTGTTTTGCTTCTCGTTGACATTACACATACAACACCAATGTGTGTCGATGATATCCAATTGATGCGATTCGATTTGATGTCCCTTCCTCAGGATGAGCGGCTCCGCGGCAGCGTCTGGGGCGAGGTCGGCGGCCGATCGTCTGAGGTCAAAGGACTCCTCTCCAGCGATCGGCACCGTCTGCTTCGATCCGGCCACTCTGAAGAAGCGACTCACCCCTTTGCAGCACCACATCACACAGGACAAGGCCACCGAACGGTGAGTGGCGAGACGGCGATAATGCCTTACTCTTGGATGGAGGTCTCGGGAACTTCTTAAGCTTTGTGAGATACATGACACGAGAGTCGCTTTGAGGTTTTGATGCAGCATTCGCTATCGTTACGCGAAATAAGCAACATCAAAGATGATGACTGGCCACTTGCTTCCCCAATCCCACGACTCAATTAAGGAAATATAATAAGACAGAACTGTCCTGATGCCACTCTTTCCATCATTAGAATAGACTAAAGTTTTTTTCGCTAACACTAATTATCAGTACTTAGATATAACCCGAGGGCTATAAGAACACACGATCATATTCCGCTTACCTTCATTGCAACTTAACATATGTTTCAATGTTCCTAGTTGGTTCGTAGAGTCTCGTATGGCTTATGTGCGAACTTATCAAATGTTACCTGTCACAAACTTCTCATGGGCTTCCTCCGTTTCTGAGGAATTGACCCTTAAAGTATACAAGTGCCGTGGCCTTCGCGGCTGCTTATCCCGAGAAGGTATAATGGCTTTCGACACTGCACTGGTGTCTCGGCTTCAGATGACTTCAGATTCAAACACCCGGACTCGATGGCTGCAGGATGAGAGGGGTCTGGTCACGGGCTCGTTCGAGCCATGTCGACCGTTTGACGCGTTTGTTGGTTCAAGTTGCACTTGATATATCTACATTTTACATGCCAAGCATTTACATCTACTGACCATGTTTAGTCGTGGGTTTCGGAATAAACTTTCGAGGCTTGAATATATTCATGAGTTCACGGCATTTCCCTATAGTTGTTATCCAACAAAGACCTACATGCCACTTTCCAGCTTGGAACGTTCTGCCTCTCTTTCCTTCCCACAGACAAAAATATACGTTACATTCAAATCCGATCCCCGGTTCAGACGTAAGATTTCGGAACACGTCAAGGTTACACAGAATGGGCATCAGGCAAAGCCGATTATGATAATAACTTCGTTAGCAAATGGTGCATCTCCCATACTTACCTTGTAAGATGATGTGCTGATATCACGGAGGTGTGATAACGCCATGTATCTCTTGTGGCCATCCATGCGTGCAAATGATCTACATTGTGTTCGGTGATGTTGAAAATGTTCAGATGTCTTTCGTCCAGCGTTTGTCGCTTCATCGGACATGGGGTGACCCTGCGGTCTATCTCTTAGGTGCCTTCCAGTGTACAGGATATCTGACTCTGTGACCGGATTAGGTGAGAGGCGCGTCACTCCTCCGTTCTGAGGGGCTCGGCTCAGTGCTCACAGGTGTCTGATGGTGTTCGATCGTCCGCAACCGGGCCGGGTGGTCATGTTGCTTTGTCTGCTGCAGAGATGTTGTGCCGACAATGGGTTTGATTACGTAAGGGCGAGACTGAAGCGAACAGTGAACACATAAGGCATCACACAGGTCCTTGTCCGCGGTACACCAGAGATCAGAGATCCGGGCTTGGTGCCGTCACATCAGGCCGCATATTCGTTCACTTCATGCCTCGTCACATCAGGCCAATGCTCCGTCACGTCGGGTTAAGTGACGTTACATCAGCATTTCTGTCACATCAGGCCATAGTTCCGTCACGCCAGGTCGTTACATTTATCTCCTCACTTTCTCAGCCCAACTTCACCCGGTGGGTGTGCCCGTCTGATCTGTCCGACACCGTGAGGTGTGTCTTTTAGGAACGAGGGTATTAGCTCGAGGTTCGGAGATATCATACGGCGAGGATAACACATCACAGCGGTGCACAAGATCGTACGGCTTTGACCTTTACTAGGCGGCTGTGCTTACACATGGTGTAGCGTATAGGATAAGGAATGCGGTCATTCCAGATAGGTGTGGGAGAATTACGGTCAGAGCCGATAGTGCACGTTGGAAACGTTATACCAAACGAAATGCACTGAACTGAGAATACAATTTGAAGGCCGGGATCTTGCATAAATATTCCTTCATAAATCATAGTTTGCTTACTTCCGTGCAAAGTTCATGGTTAAATAGTTTTATTATTAATACTTATAATTTAATAACTAACTAAAAGAATAAACCTCGAAATGAGTACTTAAGCAATCATACTTTATCGCCGTGAATCCCTCTTTAAACGTCATTTGTCACTGATTATTCATCAATCATGTTGCATAGGTATGGTTCACTCTGACCCTTCCCTGTCGCTCGCTCTCTCCGACCAGTCTGTGAAAATCGTATCACCTGCCGCGCCCTTAAGCGTGACAAAAGGAGCCGCAAATTACGCAACACACACCACACGCTCCCGCATGGCGTCGCGTGCCATGAAATGTGATGTTCGTGCAAGCAGGCCGCCGTGTCATGCGGTGACATGATGTCTCTTCCTCTGCCGCGTGCAATTTCATTCAGGAGCCTCCTCAATGCACATGAACCGTCTATCGCAAGGCCAATGTGAAGATTTTGGAAACGGAAGCGTCGTAAAACTAAAGCTTCGAATTTGAAATAAAATGTATGTTGTCTGGCCAATAGGAGACTGATGATGCAAGCCGGTGCACTAAATTATGAAATAATGGCATACCAATATTCGAATTATTACCCTCAGCACCAATGGCTCATATCGTAATTGTAAATGACGTGTTTTGGAACGAACGATTCTCTAAATCCCCATGGTCCGTTACATACCTACATACATACATGGTCGTACGATACATGCATGGTCGTACGACATAGGGGAAGCGGGGGAGCACCGCCACCTTAACCCGCGCGGGGCTGGGGTCTCCAGCCGAACGCGCGGGGCTGGGGGGGGGGTAAATTTTACCCCCCCTGTTATCTCCCGAACTAATGGTCCGATTTGGAAAATTCAAACGCCAATCGAAAGCTCTCATCACGAACTACTAAAAACATGTACTTAATTTAAAGTTTGAGGTCAAGGTCAAGGTCAGGTCAAGGGTACAAATTGCAAGTTTCTACAGTATCGGCCTTGCACCGTAGTTGCCGAAGAATGGAGTCATGGACTGAGACTGATCGCCCAAAACGTGTTCTTAGGCTACCAATACAATATTCGTTGCATACAATATCATTCAGAGGTCAAGGTCAAGGTCAGGTCAGGTCAGGTCAGGTCACCAAAAAACAAAATATAGAAAAGGGCATGTGCGACACATGTTTTATGGGTCATTTTACTCATAGAATTCAATAGGCTCACTCAATAAGTGATATGGACCACCTCTGGATGAATTTCAGGTCGAGGTCAGGTCAAGGTCAGGTCAAGTGAGGTCAAATTTTGAAGTTGGTTGTTAAGGCCTAAAAAGGTGTCTATCTGATGCAGTTTTTCACGGCGAATCGAATGGTGCTATTTTTGTTTCCGTACGAGGTCTAGAACTTCCAAAAAAGTCATTTTTCGAAAATTTTGTGTGTCGTGACGTCATAAAATTTTGAATAACTCCCACATTTTTGAACCGATTCTTCTAAAATTTGGTATGTGGGTGCACATAGACCACTTCTCTGACATATATTCCGGTTTTTTCGATAGACTCAAAATTTTGGATTTTATAATGATTTTCCCAAAAAAATCAGTTTTTTGAAAAAATTTAGGCCAAAATCCAAAATTTTCAAAAAACCGAGATAGCCATTTGATAGACAAAGTAAAATTACGTATAACCTTTTTTGTTACGTCTTGATTCCTTTAAAAATGAAGATGTTAGCGGCGTTTGAACTTTTGCCGTTTTTGAGGCGAAAATGGCGAACATGACGTCACTAAAACGTCAATTTCTCAAAAATTTTCCGACGGATTTCGCTCAAATTTTCAGGGAACGTGTCAAATTGATGTAAGAAAAGGTACTGAAAGTTTGGCGGCGCTGCGCGCCGCCGTTTTTGAGATATCGCAAAAATTCGCGAGGGGGGGTAAAATTTACCCCCCCCCAGCCCCGCGCGGGTTAAGCATTTCTGCTCACCGAGCTGATATGCGTAGTAAAAACGAAGCTCTTTTGCATTCATGTGAAAGTAGGAATGTTTTCCTACATGTTGGCATAGTTTTCAGCGCTCCATTATAAAATTTCGCTACTTTACAGACGTCGAAAACAAGTCCTGCATTTTTCGTCCTCCAAAAAATGTGCGGGTAGCACCGCCACTGATGGCGATGTTATCCACAGATCGGCCTTACGGTGACAGCCACCCTTGGAAGCTTTACTGCTGTCTGAAATAGTAACTCAAACTCATATAAGACACAAAAGAGTTGGCTGTTAGTTTGTCACAGATCAGACTGTTTGTTGCGGACAATATGCATACAAAGCATGACAAATTCACGTTTATTTCGAAACATCCAGTGAAGTCAAACGTGAGGTTAAAAAACAGACGACGTTTGCGGCCTAACTAAAGCTCTTCTCCGAGCTGAGTGAATCATCATTGCGGCTTTATCCATTTTGCCACCCCTTGGGGTAGCACCGCCGAGCATGGCGGTGTTACCCCACTCACAGTCATGGACCGACCACGCCCCGACAGCAAAACAAGCCGGGACGCGATTCTTCTGTAATTCCTTTCTCAACAAAGAGCACTTCATGCCCTTAAATTTAACGTAAAAATCAAGGCATTTTGACTTGAAATGACCACTTACTTGCTGCTCAAACATGCCAAATGATTACAACGATGGTTTGAAATTCACAAAATGGGCAATTGCGATCTCAAAATCAAATAAATCTTAGCGAAACCTACCTCACGCGGCGTCCCGTTTCCGTTCGGACACCGAAATGACGGGTGTTATTTACAATTCAGAGTTTTGCCGATAGAGAGGATGGCGGTGTTTCCCACATGGCGGTGCTACCCCCGCTTCCCCTACATGCATGGCGTGGTTACATACATGGTCCCTACGATAGTATGTGTCAGGCCATCGTAGAGGTAGAAACATCTGCAGAGCTAAAATGTAAGATGATGGTATGATAGACGATAATTGCATTACATGTTGTAAACCACATTAGGACATCTTGTCATATGGTGATAAGCACTGAAGTGCGCATTTCCCACCATGCTAATTTCTTTCTGCGGAAACTTCACACATAAATCCTATGACCTGACCGTGAGACCGAAGGGCGAAGCTACAGACCAGAGACATCAGACAAATGAGCTGAGCTGACCTGACCTGACCATAGTACTTAAAGGAAGGGTGCCACCTTCCGAAATTTTTGTTCTATGAATCTATTTTACTTATTTGAATTTTTAGACGTGGTTAGCGCGTCCACAATATACAAAAAACCGAAACATTGCATTTAATACATTGGCCAAAAAAAAAGATCGTTGTTTATATCACCACTACAACTCAAGGTCGTTTGATGTGGCAGCTAGGACGGCTGGCATATCCTGTTGTCATGGCAACATATCATTCTGCCATTTGCATTGATGGCGCAACTGAGACAAAAAGATGAACAAATAAAAAGGAAGAAGATAACATGATTTGAACTAAGTTGTAGGTAACCAAGTAGGTAACTGTTGGCCATATTTGGCCGTCAAAAGAACATCAAATAAGTCGAGTAAAGGTTTTTCCTTTACAATGCTTAAGAGATCTATGGAACCCTTCACCCTTCATGCAACTTGCTAGAAAAACTTCCCAATTAAAATTTTAAAACTTAAGTGTATACCATAAAGAAAAAATATACCCTTTCAAAATGATAAAACATGCTTCAAAAGTATAACTTTTATACATACCTTTGCTGATTTCATGTTTTATAAAATACCCTTAACACGACGAGGAAATAGTGCTGAAGATTTTTGCCTGCCCGAATGCTGGCAGCAAAACTCGCAAATGATAACTTCACGTGCGGATTCAATGCTGACCGTCTCGAGCATAGGTAAGCGAAGCCGGTTTTTAGGTTCATGTGAGGCTAATCTTGTAAAAACTGCGTTGTGTCCAAAAGGTGGCACCCTTCCTTTGCCGTGCTTGAAGGGCCGTGGGAACACAACATCCCGTCTCTCAGACCTCAGCTGACTGCTCCCAGACTGCCCGAGCGTCTGGCAGACTCTGTGAAGCCGCTCAGCAAATCCCCGAATTCCGGGCATACCTCCGGAGATCAATGTAAACAACCGGAGATTGCCAGAGTCAGATGATACACATTGCACATACCAGTCGAGTTCTAAAGAGGACGTAGGGTCTGTTGCTGGGATCGGATCGGACAATACAACCGTCTGTGAATAAATATTATTGAACTGCTGCTACTGGAGCGGAGAGATCATGACATGTGGCATCTGTCACTGTGTTTTAGGGAGCAGAATCGGCGGATACTGATTTTTTTTTCACTTGAAACCAGGCTATGGCATTTTCCTTGGCGGTTCTGACCTGTCATTTTTTTGCGACCTTACGTACTTATGCGACCTCACTTACGTCCAGACTTCGCCTCTCAAGCATTGTTCAACCAAAGGTTAAGCCATTATAGTCGAATCAGCATTAACCTTATAACCATCGATCTGACCTGTGCTCGACATGAAGCCCCTTGTCTAGCCTATGTGTCTCCATGACTTTTATATAGTCTTCATTCTGTTTTGACCCCTCTGACCTCTCTGTATCTCCAGGGCGTTCTCGGGTCGATTCAACAAGCACCGCGAGCCGGGCATCTATCGATGCATCGTGTGTCGACAGGACCTGTTCTCCTCGGCTACTAAATATGACTCCGGCTCCGGATGGCCCAGCTTCTATGACGTCATCGACCCCCGCCGGGTGACGCTCAAAGCCGATCTCTCACATGGTGGGTGAAGGGTCTGGTAGTGGGCTAGTTTGTTCCAATGTGATCGCACTTGGGAGGGAGGAGTCCGGTTAGATTATAATAAGATATTTTATGGGCTTTTCTTTTGTGCGAGGAATATGTAGGTATTTGGTCTTAGTCGAATTACGAATGCATTTTAGGTATTCTGTTGACAAAACTTGTGCTGCTTATGCTTTAGTTTTCTGTTTTGTAAGTGTTAAGCGTGTCACGCCCTAGCTTGCCCATGTCTTGTTGCTAACATATATTTAATAGCAATAATATAATATAATAGCAACACACCTGCTGTTCCTACCTGATGCGTGGATGGGGGGGTTCTGACCTTGCCTCTGTTTAGTGGATAACAGTGACGGCGTGTACTGAATTCTCGCCTCTGTTCTGCCGTCAGTGGGCGGTAACATCCTGCTGCTGGTGGCCAACCCGGGCATGGAGCGCACGGAGGTCAGCTGCGCCCGCTGCGGCGCCCACCTGGGTCACCTGTTCAAGGACGGACCGAAACCCACCGGGAACCGCTACTGCGTCAACTCAGAGTCGCTCGACTTCCGACGCGACGACTCGATTGACGTTCTCGACAGGGTAGAGTTCGCGAAAGGCTCGTGTGGAGAGCTGAGCGGCTCGTGCGGCGCCCCACCCCGGCCGTCGCCGCGCGCGACCGCGCCCAGTGCTGCCATCTCTCGGGTGGTGGAGAAGTACAATTCACTAGGTGGCGCTGGTAGTAATGGTTCTGGTGTCTCTGCGATTGTGAACGGACAGAGCGCGACAAATGGGAGCCGAAGGCAGAGCGACGGGGTGGCACACGAAACCAACGGGAAAACATGAATGGGTTGTGTAATGCATTTTATTATTAATTTTGCCAGGGTCCAGGATCTAATGAAACTTGAAAGAATTTTATGGCGAGCGTGTGTTGTTTGACGAAAGTCTATATATTTTGATACGATGTTGCATTTTATTGTTGTGTCATTGTCATCGTTTCGGTACCACTACCAATAGGTTGCGAGGTAAGGTATAGCTTGTGTCCTGCTGGAATGAAGTGAGAAATGCATCTGATAGTTTTTTAAATAGAGAACCGTCACCGTGCAAGGGGAGAGGGAATATCCGATTGCAACGAAGGAATCAAATATACCCAGGGGACAAGTGTCTTCCCGTCTCTTATGGGGTCTAATAGGAGCAAGACAGATGGTTACTTGGGTTTGGTCTCTCTATGTTGCATTGAACAGAGCTAGATATTCTGGATGATTGAAAAGCTCGGATCCCAAGCGGTCTTATTAGTACAAAACCTCCTAAGGCCCACATGAGGGCCTCTCAGAATTCAGTCCAGTCATGGGTCCTCAGAGACGATGTTGACTCTCTGAGAGTAGTGGCTGCCTTCATCTGGGAAGGGGGTCCTCCGAGATCAGCAGAGGATCCCTTCGGTGTAGTGCCGTGAAGGAACGTCTAAATGCAGGGTCCCCTTCAAATTTGACCAGAAAACCAAAGAAATTAAGGACAATCTCCAGCCCAATCTTCCCCTAAAGAGCTTTGGTTCCAGTAACAAATGCAGTGGCGGATCGAAGGGGAGGGGGTTCACATGGGTCATGTCTGACACCCCTTGGGGCCCGAGGGCACCACAGGTCTGCCAAAGGCACCACCGGCCTATCAGGGGAACCACAGGCCTGACAGGGGCACCACAGGTCTAGCATGGGCACCACGGGCCTGTCAGGGGCACCACGGGCCTGTCAGGGACACCCCGCTTGTCAGGGGTACCACAGGCCTTTCAGCAGCACCATCGGCCTAGAAAGAACACCAAAGGTCTGCCAGGGGCACCAGAGGCCTGCCAAGGGCACTACTGGCCTCACAGGGGCGCCTTGGGTATGTCAGGAGCACCACGGGCCTGTCGGGGCACTTCAGGCTTGTCAGGGGCACCACAGTCCTGTTAGGGCCCAGGTGCAACATAAGTTCGCCAGGGACAAAACAGGCCTGCCAGGGGCGCCACGGGCCTAGCAAGGGCGCCACGGGCCTGTCAGGGGCACCTCAGGCTTGTCAGGGCCCAAGGGCACTGCAGTCCTTCCAGGAGCACCACACCCCTGTCAAGGGCACCAGAGGTCTAGCAGGGGCACCACAGAAGACACTGACCAAAAAATGCTTAACCCGCGCACCGACGGGGGTCTGCGCCAACTTAGTACCGACGGGGGGGGGGGGGGGGCGGATGACCGCCCCCCCTGAGATCTCGAGAACGAAGCAAGATAGCGACAAGCGGTAAACGGCATCGGATACGCACGGTCAAGATCTACAATTTTTACTAAGGTCATTTTCAGGTCAGGTCAAAGATGACGTCACAGGGGTCGAAAAAGTCAAAATGGCGGCGCTAAATATGGAGAGAGTTTTTCTCGAATAACTTTCGAATTAGTCAAGATAGGAACAAACTAAGGGCATCATCGTGATCCTCTCATCAATCCGCATCGAATGATATATATGTTGACCTCGAAAGGTCAAGGTCAAAGGTTGACCTCAGGTCACGTGACCTCGAGGTCATCATGTATATCATTCGATGCGTCTTGACGAGCTGAACACAATGAGACCATCCACGCGTCTGTATCTTGTTCCTGTACGGAGTTATTGGCCAAAAACCTTTGGTGACCTTTGATGACGTCACATGACCTCATAGCTGCCCAACAGCAAAACAGACCTCAAGGTAGTGAAGGTTGATCGTATATGAAGTCATGTATGGTATATGGGGCCATTCCGACCCGTTTTAGTGGTAAAAACAGGGAGTTGATTTTCCCCCATTGACTTATAATGGGGAGGTCGCGAAATTGACCTGACCTTAGGTCACCGATATCAAAATTCCGAGATATACAAGTTGTAGCTACTAATGACCTAATAACATCCTGCGACTTTCAAAGGCCTCCGACATCTACTGTAGCTCTGGCACGGTGACAAAGTTGCAAAAAGTGACTTGAGGTTGGGTCATTCAAAGTGACCTGGTGACCTGACCTTGAAAGGTAGGAGGTTCAAACTTGCACACCATGTGTAAAATTGATAAGGGAATAGTCATACCAAATTTCGCGGCGCTACGCGCCGCGGTTTTCCCGCTATTCGCGAAAAACCTCAGGGGGGCGGATATCCGCCCCCCCGTCGGTGCGCGGGTTAAAAGAAAAAAAAGAAAAAAAAACCCTGAAAATAGGGCACCATCAAAAGACCGAAATCCGTTGAGCTTTTCATTTTGGGCATAGGTAGGGGCAACACTTCGACTCATGACCCTCTCCTTGGAGTTTTATTGGATCCGACATCCGCCCCTGGTATCGGAACTTTTATAAGCTGCAGGAAATGGGAATTGGGAATCCAACACCAGGTCAAAGTGCCGCCATCTGTGGCTTCTCAGTACTAGCTCTACTTGCTATGCTTGTCAACAGATGGCAGGCAGGGCACCTCAATAGGACGTGGCATGGATCAATAACGGAACACCGCCGCGCCGGCCGCGCTCGCCGCACCGCCCGCTGACCGTCTTGGGGAGGCCGGCAGCGGGCCAGGGGAGGCCAGCAGGAACAGCGGGCAGCCGGGTCACCGAGTTAGAGTGAAATCGGCAGCCGTGAGCGAAAATTGGTAGTGCAAACGGACAGCGTCCGATGAAAATCCGGGAGTGAGGTCACTTTTGCGAGTGGAAAAGGTCGAGCGCTGGCCTTATCCATCATCCTCAGCCTCATCTATTTACAGACGTCCTCGCCAACCTCAGGATACGCCCAATCCCATCGGCCATCCGCATCCCCTCACGCTTCAATTTCCGTGCTGGTGGTGTGGTCATCCTCACCAGACAACCGGTGCACAGTGGGGATTTTTTCCGATCTAGCGCCTCTTAATTCAAAAAATCTTTTTTGGATTTTTGTTTATTTTTTGTGTCAGTAGGGCTAAGAAATGTCTGAATTTTTCATAGATGGCATTGTTTTATTTGTATGTCCACAGCAAAACTAGGAAAAATGCGCCCAAAGATCACACTCATGCGTGATTACTCAATGGGCTCAGCAAGGCCCGAAAATATAGCTCAATTTCATTGTCCTGTCCTGTTGGTTTTAATCTTGCGAGATCTTAAAGTTGCATATCGTCTGAAAGGCACCTTTATTAGGAATGGAAATGGCAAACAGAAAGTATGCCACAACCTTATTAAGGTCACAAAAATGCCCTTTACAAAAAACCCTTACAGACACCATATTGAAGGAATGGTATTCTAAATAAATGTAGGAAATCAACAATGTTCTCCACACTTTTCCACTCCGAAATATATCCTATCGAATTCGCCACTTTCTCCTGCACAAGACAACGCCTAGTTTGGCTGCCGAAACTTGCCTGAACACGGAATATTCACATTAGAGTATCTTAACACCCCACTCGAGGAGCACTAGGGCAAACAGCACGATATAGGTGTGTTCCGGACATAGGCGAATAATTTTACTTCGTGATTTATATGATGCATATTTTCTGAGACACATTCATTAGGAATAGGATGACAAGCGTAAATTATACATACCGTAACCTTATTAACCATCGCACTTGTGGGGAGGGGGAGGGGGAAGGGGTCGGATAAAACCCCATGGTTTTCCGCAAATTACTCGCGCAAAAAGCGGCCGATCGCGCCGAAACTTTCGGTACCCTCGAGATCCTCAATTTTACATCTAACCTAAAAATTTCATGACTCTGACCCAACTGACCTTTGACCTGTGGCATATTTCTCGAGACCATGTTTGGCCGGAATCGCGATTCGGCGTATGCCAGCTCACATTATCCGCGGTTTCCAGTCTTTTTGTGGTTTTAAACGTTCAAATATGTGAAATGCTGTTGGTGCCATGCATAATGGTGGGTGTCAAGGTCACGTGAAGGTCAAGTCAAGGTCATTGACCTTTTGATGACCTTGGTTCACTTTTTCGAGTTTTACTTGTTTCTAGGGTAGTTTTTGGTGCTGATTTCGATTTTAGCAGCCATTTGAATATTTACGAAGTAGTTCTGTTGCCTTCGTTCCATGTTGCGAAGCTATTAGTAGTAGGTGACACTTCTATGGATGGCCGGCAGGACGCCTACTAATTGATCTAACCTGACCTGACCCGACCTGGCCTAAATGCATAAAGACATCGTCTGTGATCAAAACTAACATGAAATTCGTGATCAGCACCCCAAAATACCCCGTAACACCCTAACTTTGCGAAGTTTCAAGAGGTCTCGATTTCCCAACTTTAGTTGGGTCATTAAACTGACTTGGAAAGTCAGCTTATGACCTTGGACTTTGAAATTGGATATATTCGGCCTCATTTCGTCATAGGTAGCACGCTTGACTTTTCCGCGAAGCTCTAGCTTGATCAGGGGCCAAACGGCTGAGCGGGGGGTCCAATTGAACCCCCTATACTATGTTGATTATGCACATTTACAGGTAAAATTCTCACCAAGACACACCAGCCAACATCTGTGCACAATCTGGCTACAATTCTACCTATGGTTTGCCCTCTACGAATAAATACGTGCTAGATCGGAAAAATCCCCACTGTGCGGTGGTGAGAGCAACTCCATACCGGGACCAGTCCTTCCCTGGGGTGACAGCACCACACGAGTTTGGTTTTTGATTATTATAGATTCACCCAAAAATGGTTGCAGAGCCGCGTTTTGAGCACCATCCTGTTCTTCATTGCCGAATGTTTAGGTATGCTTTTGTTTGGGTGAGGTGAGGTCAACTTAACCCTATTAGTGGCAGGGGGGGTTGTTTTTATCCACCCCTCAGGTTTTTCGGGAATATCTCCGAAACCGCTGAAGCTACGATGCTGAAATTTTCTGACTTTTCCTAAAACGAAATTGGGCACATTCCCTGAAAATTTCACGTTCATAACTTTACCAGGGGCGGCTCCAGAGCACTGGGAATTGGGGGGTCCTATTCGTGAAGCGAGTCATTTGGGCGAAGATCACGATGCTGATGTATTATAACTGTATGCACCAGTTTTACGAACAGTGAATGAAAGGTATCATGTGATAACATATACAAAGTTATTGTGCATCCTCTTTTGACATGTTTTTGCTATAATAGGCGG